AGAAAAAAAGGAGAAGGGGGGGGGGGGGGGGGGGGGGGGGGGGGGGGGGGGGGGTGCGATGCAGGGATGGGGCGGTTTTCAAAATGTCGGCTGGCATGCTGCAGCAGCCACTGAGGATTGTGGGGTGGGAGACAAACACAAACACACAGATTCTCCTAAAATCTTTCCGAATCCCAAGCGATCAATCACCTAAGCATGAAATACGCTTCAGAATGAATTATTCTGCTTGCATTAACACTACAGATATTGATTGGTGACCACTGTGCCCTCAGTCGTAGGGGTGTTCCATGCAACGAAATACATGGAATCAATCAATGCCCCGTTGGCCTGAGTGGTACCATGTCCTGCTGTTGTTTTCCGCGGTGGTCGCTAAACATGCCATTGTGGAAATGTTGATCGGCAGTAAATGTTCATTTAGGATGGTGAGTGGTGCTGTGATAAGAAAAAAAGGAGAAGGGGGGGGGGGGGGGGGGGGGGGGGGGGGGGGGGGGGGGTGCGATGCAGGGATGGGGCGGTTTTCAAAATGTCGGCTGGCATGCTGCAGCAGCCACTGAGGATTGTGGGGTGGGAGACAAACACAAACACACAGATTCTCCTAAAATCTTTCCGAATCCCAAGCGATCAATCACCTAAGCATGAAATACACTTCAGAATGAATTATTCTGCTTGCATTAACACTACAGATATTGATTGGTGACCACTGTGCCCTCAGTCGTAGGGGTGTTCCATGCAACGAAATACATGGAATCAATCAATGCCCCGTTGGCCTGAGTGGTACCATGTCCTGCTGTTGTTTTCCGTGGTGGTCGCTAAACATGCCATTGTGGAAATGTTGATCGGCAGTAAATGTTCATTTAGGATGGTGAGTGGTGCTGTGATAACGTAAGCCCTGTTTTTTATGACAAAAAAATGTTCAAGCTATAGGTTTTTTTTTTTTGGGATATGCATAATGCATCATTTAGGCTTGGATTATTAGTTGAAATATTTTTCATAAATTTTAATTGATATTGACTGTGAACTTTCTGTTGGCCAATCACCATCTGATTGATTTTTCTTAAGGCTTTTTTTCACAGCTTCTGTGCACAAAAGGATAAGTGGACACCTCTGTATTTCCCTATATAACCCACTTTCCATGAGTGTTGACTTTTCTCACCATGCCCTTTGTTTAATTACTAGCTAGTATTGATTTCCTTGGGAAAGCAACGCAGAAGGCTCCAGCACACACCTCCGGTGAATAAGACGGCGTGAGCAAACATTAGAATGCATGCAGCTACACGCATCCTCTCTCGGAGACAGCAGGAGTTCAACTTACCGACACATTTAATGATGATTCAGCTTAATGCAGTGATTCTTAACAAGCATGTATACAACAAATACCCATCCTTTTAAAATCCATCAGCACTTTTTTTCCCTTACGCTTTTATTTTTTTTATCCAGTATCATGCATACTGCAAACAGGGTCTGAGATCACACTGCATTTATTGTACAATAAATGCATATTTTAATATTTTATAAGCTACATTTATTGACTTAAAATTCGTATCCTGGTTTTCCTACATATCCTGAATTGTTTCTCTCTTTCTCTCACTCAGTTTTTCCTCAGGTCTTTTGTGTGGATGTGTTCTGTGTGAGCTTTGATTGGGAGAGAGATGAACAGAGAGAAATTCAGTCGCAGGGCAGGGTAGAGATCATTACTCTAAAGCTCAGCATTCGGACAGCATTGGGATTTCACACACAAGCACTAAAGCCTAAAGCTCTTGTCTTAAGGAATCAGAGAAATATAATCAGATTAATAGCAGAGGCTTTTTCACTGATGCTCTTACTTTTACATTTTCAGCCCCAAACTATTTTTATAAAAATTGCATAGTTAAGTTTAGATCTCTGCCGTCCTGCAGAGATTGACAATAAATGTGGTTTGGCACGCCGAAGCCCCCCTTTCATCCAGCACTAAAAGGGTTAAAGCTCCTCTATAGGTCGGGGAGTCTGAGCAGCACAGATTTAATCAATAATTTCTATCAGCCCCTGGCCGAAAAAAAATCAGCAGGGGGTGGAGAAGGCAGGGAGTACGGCTTCGGGGGGAGAGGGGGTGATAGGCAATTGGGGGGTGGGGGTGGTTTATGAAAAAGGCTTTCGATCACGTTTCAGCTACATGAGACAAGTGGTATACATCATGATTAGGGCCTGCTCCCACGATCATAAGAACTCTATGGGGGGATGTTTATGTCTGGGAGTGAGGTGCGCAGCGCAGAATTTATAGCATGGTAATTCCTACCTTTTACACATGATTACAACATCAGGAAGCATTTAGTTAATGGTCGCCGTTGTATTGGCGAAAACCAGTGGGGCCAATCGAGAGAATCGGGAGTTGAACTGAAACGTGCATTTTGAGGACAACAGACTTTCTGAATGTTTTGTTTCTTCTGGTTTGTTCATCGTCTGTTGTATTTGATATAGATCATTATTGTTCAGCACGTTTACAGTCTTTCTCTTTATCACTTAATCTCCCTTATCCTGAATTTCCACTCAAGAATCAATAAAGTACATTTATCTATCTATCAAGTTGGCAGTTGTCTGATAGAGACTCTCTCTGGTTTTCAGGCAATAGTCTGGTCTACAGCCAGTGTGGTAGTTAATTAAGCCGTATATTATATAACTTCAATAACGTTATATGATAATTATTGTGAAATATAAAGAGTAGAGCAGAGTATTGACAACATTTGCTCGAACTGATCTTTTGCATCTTTTCTACTGCACAGAACTGCTCAGGTTCATTTTACATACAGCGTTTTCTATTTTAAAGATTTTTTTAGCTTTCGACTGTAATTTCCTGATCTGTTGCATATTTTTCTACAAAAGCAAAGGTCTTTTACAATAGCAAAGGACTTATCATCTCTCAAACTAGATGCACTTCAGATGCAAATGTTTAACATTTTAAATGTTGAGATCTTTAAAATTTGAAATCTTTTTTAGCTTTCGACTGTAATTTCCTGATTGTTAGCATATTTTTCTACAACAGTGAAGGCCTTAATTATTATACCTAGTTGCTATTCAGATTTAATATTTTCAACATTTTGAAATGTTAAATCTTAAATATTGGAGTTTAAAATTTAGCCTTTGACCATAATTTCCTTGATAAAGCTGTCAACAATTATTTGCGCATCTTTCTTTGTTTTCTGCTGTTTACAGTTTTTAAATTATATTATTGTTAAAGATGCAAGTCACATGTTAATATCTACACTGAATAGACCTTTATGAAACACTATTTATGTTTTCTGCAACTAACAAAGTGTAGAGATAACAAAGATAAACTCCTAATAATGATAATGGAAAGACCATTTAAGATTTTCAGGTCTTATTTGTAGACTAATGTTTATTTTTTCTATCTGTCTTTTTTTCAGCTTGTAAGCGTAAGGAGCAGGAGCAATCCAAGCTAGAGCGCAACCAGGGGCCCAAGCGCACCCGGCTTTTTTTTTTTGTAAAAATTTCAAGCACACAATCTGGCCGATGGCTGTTCATACTGGAAAAAGCTCAAAGTCTTGAAGACCCTGATGAAAAATACTTAGGCTACAAAAAGCTTGAATTGAACATGAACAACCACTTTGTGTATTTATAATTATTTATGTATTTATTTCCAATCTTCTAGCTATTTATTTTATTTATTTGCTAGTTACCATCAGTATTTATTTCACTGAGTGTTGTTTGTGTGTGGAAAAATGACCCTATCTCTGATAGCAGTTCCAATACCAAAGATGAATATTTGTCCTTCCTGAATGTCCCACGTTTCTCATCTCCTGAACGCTGTTAGATATTTCGATAGCCAAGCTAGCGTACCCATCCATGTTCATCGTTCACATGTGCTGCATGTCTAGACCCTTTAGGCCACAGCCTGACCAAACAAATCGAGACTCAGCGTGATCGTAAAACAGCACACAAGTGGCTATGAAGTCGAGATGTTTCTATATTTGGGCTGTTGAACTGTGATCTCCTCACTGCAGTCCTCATTTACTGTACGATGATTGTACGTGCTGTGCCATGGTCTCTCGGGGTGGGCCGTCGAGGGAGAGATCGTCCCTTTTTCAATGCTCTTTTTCGTTCCCCTGTGTTTAACCTTTGCAGGGCATGTAGTGAGGCCCCTGCACAGCACACACTTGAAAGAGGGCCCATGAAAGAGGCCATCGACTTTTGCCGACTTCAAAGAGGCCCGTTTTTATCTGTCCTCTCAGCGGCTGGGGCCGGCGCTCGGCACTGGGTCGGACCCATGGGCGTAGGGCGTTCACGGGGAGGGGTGGCAGATCAGAGGCTAGCAGCATTACCGAATCACGGTAAGGAAGGGGAGGGGTGGTGAATGGTAGTTTGGGGATGTGAATTAAAGTTTAATGAGTGACAATTGTAAGCGTGCTGCGCGAGGGGCAAAGGGTGTCAGCGTGTGTGGGTCTCAACTCTCCAGGTCACCCTGTTGCAGCACTGGGGGTTAGCCGGTCCTCTCTTTTTTTGTAGAGATGTAATGATTTAGGTTATAATAATTTGCAAACTTACCGCGGTAGATGGTTAGAGAACACTCGACGACTTGTAGTGTCCCGAAGATCACGTTTAGCAGATCATGGCAGACGCGTCTAACGTAATTTAGTATTTGGCGCCTCCTAGTGGTCATTATGTCCTACCGCTTACTGAGAGGAACATAAATCACGCCATATTCTCGTAGTGTTTATCCTCTTCAGAAATATTTGAAAGAGGTACTACAGTGTGTAAATCTGAAGTGATATTTCCATTTCACCGTCCCACTGAGGGGAACCCGTTTGGCCATTTTTGTTCTACCCGACAGCTCTAATTTCATCTACCTCAGCTGTGTGTGATGTGTCGTGTAGCTGATAACTGTACCAAAGATCCCATCCATTCAGGGAGCGTCTGTGCGTTGCGAAGTTTTTATAGCCAAATGTGCTGGAATCAATCCGTGGACACAACTAAATCACAGCCCCTATACCTGCAGGCAGAGAGAACCTTGTTTTTCTGTGTGTGTGTGTGAGAGAGAGAGAGAGAGCGAGAGAGATAGAGCGATTGAAGAACATTTATCAATATAAAGACCAAATGGGAATGACAATCGGAGCAAGAGAGGGGTCTTGCTGATCTTATGATTGCTTATCCCTCCAAAAAGAAGAAAAAAAGAACCACAATAGTGTTACCTTGTAAAAGTGAGGATAGAGACCAAAATAAATGTTAAATAGCCTATGTTTGTCTCTACAAATATGATGCAATTATGTTCTAGCTGTGTCATGAATCACCCAAATAAAAATATGATTTTAGCAAACTTGATTGTTCACAACATAGGCTGACAGAATTCATTCTCTCAAGGCATTTTTGGCATCTGGAGATCCATTTCTTAACGGTTCAGATAAGCAGACTGAAAAGGTAGCAAGTGTTTTCTTTTTTCTTTTACCTATCACTCATCTACAATCTCTTTCTGCTGGTGTGAATATCTGTGTCATTTTATGCCATTCTCTCCCTTGTGTTACCTTATGAATGTGGCTAATCAACCAAAGGTGTAAAAATCACAGCAATCTAAATGTCAATCATAACTGGACATTGTGTGCTGACCTTGAAAAATCCTTTAATACCTCATGTGAAACTGTTTGTTGTGATGTTGCACTGAATAAAACCAAGTCATTTGTAAACATACTGAACAGAGTGAAAGCTATTTTCCTTTTAAAACTTGACAAGACAGGACAAAAAAAAAAACATTTAAAATGTATGGTAATATTTATATTGTAAGACATTCTTAAAATACATGGATTTTTTTTAAAAGACATTGGAGGGAAGAATGGGGGGAAACAGTATCTAGAACACGCATTTACAGCTAAGAAATTAGATTATAAAATAATACATTTCTTATTTCTTATCTATATTCATAGATTTCAACATGGTTTCAGTTACATAAGGGGATAGAGGGCATATGAGGCAATGCCACACATGTTGTTCTGGTTTCTGGCCATACGGATGTAGCCACCATCTCCAAATCCGGTACCCCAACTGTTAAAGCAAAAGATAACAATTAGCATATGTATTTATTCATCTCAGTGTTTTGTTTGAAATAGCAGTTTTGTTTTTACAGAAATTTGAGTGGGTACATTCCAAAAAACAAAATTAGACCCAGTCAGTTCATGATCACAAAACGTCACAATTGTTCTGATTGTACCTGTTTTTCACCAGCCAAAAGTCCTGTCCAGCAATCGCACCGTATCCCACAGCCAGCACTGCATGGTTTATGATTTTGCTGCAAGATGGATCATTGTAAACTCCTGTGGACAGATGTGAGATAACATTATAATAGTTGTCAATGAAAAATTAAAATAATTTTGACCTTTATTTTTCAACCAGAAAACTTGGTAATCAGTCTGACTGAAATGTGATGAGAAAGAAATACTCACCACTGCGGTACAGGATAAACTGAGGACGGGTGGCATCAATGGCCACTGAAATGGGCCCGATGTTAGCAACAGCCTGCTTCAGGGCCTCCTCATCTCCCTGATGGACGAAATAGTACTTGGTGCAGTTTGCTGCACGCTGGGATGGATTGTATCTGCACTGCTTTTGCTGTAGGGCACATTTATTTATTAGATTATATTCATAATGATAATGGATCGAAGCGTTTTAAAAATGTGCTAAAATGTCGGCATACGTATCGCTAAAATCTTGCAGTTTAATTTCTAATATGGAATTTCTACCATGTTTTTGTAATTATCACTTGTCTCTCCTTCACATGGACCCTCACAAACAACTTACCACTCCTTCATAAGGATAAGATGTCACAGAGTCTATTCCACCATTATCAATAACATACTGGAAGGCAGAACTCATCAAACCACCACTGCAGCCTTTGTTGCCGTAACTGGAGGAACAGTCCACCAGATTCTGAGGACTGAGATCAACCAGCTTTCCTGTGGTCTTCATCAGCTGGCCTTCAAGAGCCCCAACGGAGCTGAATGCCCAACATGATCCACATGCACCCTGACAGAAAAAGAGAGAAACATGATAAAACTACTGAAACAGGAAACACAAGAACTGTGGAATATTTGCACTTTTTTTGCCTTCAAGCTACATATAATAGAAATATTATAATAATGTGAACCTGAAATTCTTAAAATTGCTTTTGTCTCAGGTCTATCAAAAGAAACAAAAAGAGCTGTCCTGTGAAATAAAAAGCTATACAGACACAAATATAAATTAGAAAATGTTTTTTTGTGTGTGTGTGTGTGTGTGTGTGTTCTCTCAAAATATATGGTATAATCATACCTGATTCTTCACACTGGAGACATATCCCTTCTCTCTCCAGTCCAGAGAGTCTGGGACAGCAGCTCCAGATGAGCCCACAAATTCTGGTGCTTGCCTCTTAAAGCCAGGAGGGACACGAATCGTGGCTAACGTTTGCAGGATCTCCTCTGTTGTCTGTGAATCAACAAAACAAATAGGAAAATCTGAGTTTTAGATGAAATTGTCATCTGATATAGCCTGTGTCTGGCAAAATGTATAACTTTATGGCTGTATAATTTCTAGATATTATTTTAACTTAAACATCTAGAAACTTTTGTGAAGAAAATAAAATGGATGAAAAAAATGCATTGCAAAAATAAAATAAAAAAACTATAAAATAAAAGAGATAATGATGCATGCTTTTCCCTCACGCAGAAATCATTCTTTAAATTTCACAGTAACTTCATGCTAAAAATAGAAACAAGGAAATGAAGTATTGCATGCCAGGAGTTATTAATTAATACAAAATACAATACATTAATACAAAAATCACAGACAAAGAAATGCAGTGGAAAGGGCAAAAAAGGGACACTGGACTCATGTTCTCACCATGTCACCCATATGGTTCATGCCCAGGTCATATGAATGCAGGCCCATGGAGGCCTCCAGGTTGTGAAGGGTGATAAGTTCAAGGTTTCTCTCCCACAACTCCCTCCTGCCCAGTTCCTCATCCTGCCAATATTAACAACAGACAATTCCACAGTTTAATACAGCAATATATTAAACTATTGACATCACTGGTCAAACTATTTAAGTTTGATATAAATACAAATGATTTCTTTAACAAATAAGCACATGAAACAAGTTTTACCAGTTTGACAAGAAACAAGGAAGTCTTTGTATTCCTAACTAAACATGTGATTAAAAAAAAAATTCTAGATGTGCTAAAAGTAGGTAAAAGATCAGCTTTTGGATTATACAGATGCTTGTGAAATTCATATTCTCACCTTATTGGAGTAAAACTTGTTATGTGTCTTCCTCCACAACTCCCAGTGCTGGTCTAGATTTGTGTTAAAATGGGCCAGTGCTGCGCTACAGCACACGGCAAACAGCAAGCTCCCGAGCATCATGGCCTGACAAGAGCAAAACGGCAAGTAATAGTTACTGACATGCATTCAAACATCAATATTTTATCTGATAATATATTCTCATTGAATTATGTTGATATCTAAATGTCAGATATCATCCACAATATTCAGAAATTATTTCAGAGAATGAGAAAACTAATATAATATAATAATATATACTGAAATATATATATATATATATATATATATATATATATATATATATATATATATATATATATATATATTATAGATGTTCCACAGCTGGTCCAACGAATAGGCATTCCTGTGCTAAAACACATATATACATACATACATACTACACACACACGTATGTATGTATGCATGTATGTATGTACAGTATACACACACACACAGGTTTGTTTTTGTGAAAAGTGGGGACATCTCATAGGCATAATGGTTTTTCTACTGTACAGACCGTATATTCTATTGCCCTACACTAACCCTACCCCTAAACCTACCCCGCACAGGAACCTTTGTGCTATTTCAGATTTTCAATACACTCCATTCTGTGTGATTTATAAGCGTTTTGAAAAGTGGGGACATGGGGTAATGTTCTGAAAAGTCACCTTCTCCTTGCAATTCTCCTTGTAATTCCATAAACAAATTCCTCGCATGTATAAACATACCTGGCAATAAAACTCATTCTGATTCTGATTCTAATACCTATGTCATACCTTTGTCATTATACAAATTTATGTCCTCATTTGTCACAAAAACGCGCGCGCGCAC